AAAAAAATATTAATTTAAGGGTTAAAAGTGTGTAAAAAATTAGAGTTTAGAGAGGAAAAAATTGCCAACTGTACAGACTTAACAGATAAAACTGACCAAATGATCAAAAAATGCATTTTTTTATAGTTGAAGGTTGAAAAAGTAAAAAAAAAAAGTTTAAGTATTAAAATTGTTTAAAATTAAAAACTTAGGGGACTAAATTTGTCTTTAACATCCCCAAAACCTTGTGCCACGCTGGAGAAAAACTTGTCCACCTCATCAGGAAAACACCAGCATGGCAATATTTAGTGGGCACATGCCGTCACGTGATACCATCACTTCCAAATTTCCAATCCTAGCCCAAATTGGATTTGGTCTCAACTCTCTCTATTAAATTTACCCCGTGTGGTTATGTACACCAATCTCTTTGTTAAGCTTATATAAATTGTATCAATGATTTAATAGTAATTTTTTTCACTAAAAATAAGAGATTTTGAATTCGAATTGCATTTTACTAGAAGTAAAAGATTTTAAATTTAAATTGTATGGTATGTAAGTAAAGTAAGGTAAGGGACAAAAAATAATTGTTTTTCGTTATGCAACAAATAAAAAAAACAAGCTTGTATAAATTGTATTTAATTTAGTTTATATTTATAATTTTTTAAATAATAAATTATGATGTTTTAAAATATTAATTTTTAAATTATTAAATAATAAATATTAATTATTTTATTAATTATTAGTTTTTTTAATTCAAGCAAATAAAATCAATACTTTTTAAATAATATTATGTGGAGTTTAACAAATTAATTAATGAGTGACTATAATCACAATTTTAAACCTTGTAGAAACTTGAAATAACTTAAAATAATTTTATTTTTTTTAATTTTTTTATTTTAGTTGTGCAATACGAGATAACCATTTTTCATCCCTTATCTCATCCCACCCGTATGTCATGTAACTCGAACTTAAGGCCTTTTACTTCCAGCGAAAAAAAATGATTACTGAATTATTTAGATCGTTGGCAATTTAAAATAATTATGCTTAAGATTACGGTATAAAGCCGAACAAACAATTATTGAACCAAGGATTTTGGTAACCAAACTGATATTCCAATTTAAGAATAATGCCGTTTTCCGCAATGAATATAGAAAAATCAAAGTATCAAATAATTGACATTTTATTAATAAAAATTTAATTAAATTGATATTTATTAATTTAAAATTTTTAGTTTAAAATTAAAATCAAACATTTAAATGGCTATTATATCTAAACAACAGAACCTCCAATATAAAAAAAAATTAATTGACATTCCAATTTCAGTTTAAACCAAACTGACCAGTGCCCAATCGTAAAAATGATAGGCATGGATGCTTATAACCCTTTCGATGCGTGCATCTTCAATTTAAAAAAAGAAAGTAACAGACCGCATTACATTCCCTTAAATAGTAAGGATTTACCACCAACAAATTACATCGTGCATATTGCGTCTTGAGTAGTAATAAAGACGAAGAAAATTTACACAAATGATGAGGTATAATATAGTCTATACTTAATTATTGATCTTAAATTTTACTCTAATAAAATCCATCTAATTTATTATTATTATTCTTGCGTGTTTTAACTAGTATAAAAAATTAATAAA